ATCTGCATTTTCCAAAGAAGTATTCCAAGTATTCTAATGTGAGTGGTCTAGGGACCACATGGTGAGATATTTGGTAAGATACTTTATACATATGGAAATTAAAATAGAAATATTTAACATTAGCAATGATGGAGCTTAGACTACTATATATATATGTAGTATATATATAGTATATATATATACACACACACTATATTTTTTACTATAATAAAATTCACTATATCTTGAATTCTAATATTTTTCCTAAAATTGCAAGATATTTACTCATGCTTCAGAATCGTGAGTACACTGCAATAAATCACTATGAAGTCTAAATCTCTATGCACTTTATATTTTCAAACTGGCTTTTCAATAGTTTTCTCAAGACTAATTTCCATTTTATCCAAGATAATATATGAGAAGAAAAGTAACACTGATTCAATGTTTATTATGTATTAGGTTTTAAGAAATCTTATTCATTCTTCACAGGAACTCCGAGATTTTTTCTAACAATAAAATTCACTAAAGTATATCTTGAATTCCAGTACTTCCAAAAATTGCAAGATAATTATCATGTGAAAAATGTGTAAGTACACTAAACTATCAGAATATGTAGACTAATATTACGTATAGGCTGTTTTTAATGTCAAAATAGCTTTAAATCTTTTTCCCAGGATGTATCATAAACAAGTCAATGATTCCTTTTTATCCATGATGAAAATAATATTTTGGCTATAGCTAGCATCTAAAGCATGTAAATTCGACTGCCACACAGTCATTCCAATCTATGTAGCAAATACTTTTTAAATCAGGCCCCCCCACCAAAAAAAAATTCCCAAAGACTAGCTAATAATCCATTGGATATCAGTATTTGAAGGTTACTCCTCAGAAAAGAAAAAGGGCTTACTTAAGGTAATTACATAAATTACTTGAAGATCACCTTCCAAAGGCTCAGAACTCATATTTAATATAGCTGATGGAAAGTCACCCAAATCTCTTCTAGAATTATAATAAATGTGGCTAACATTTATTGACTACTTATTCTTTGTCAGATACTGTCTCATGAACTTTATATGTACCAACTCATTCAGTTCTCGTAATAGTCCTATTATTTCTACTTCAGAAATAAGGAAAGTGAAGTACAAAGACTTTCAGCAAATTTGCTTAAGTTTACACAGTTAAGAAATGGCAGTCAAGATCCATTTTGTTATACTGCCTCGTGAGACTTCAGATTTTACATGTGGTAAAAAATACAAACACTATAGAAAGGTACATAACAGAATTTGTCATCCCTCTCCCACTTTTGGGTTAGAGTTACTGTATCTCCACACCACCACCAAATGTATGTGCAGGCCCGTGTGTGTGTGTCACACAAATGGATTACTAATTATTAGTGATAAATATTTAGATTTTAGTTTTTACTATACATATGTATAGAGACATACATACATACATGTTTCAAGCTTGTTCAAATTTATTTGTAAAATAAACTCTGTGCAAGGAAATTACTGTATCAAGGATTACGTACATTACAATTTTTTTAAAGATTTTATTTATTTGAGAGAGAGCGCGTGCACATGCAACCCGAGGTGAAATTATTGAATCAGAGGCTTAACCTACTGAGCCACCTAGGCACCCCTGTGCATTACAACTTTGATACACACTATCAAACTGCCCTACAAAAAGGTTGCAATGATTTATACCCTACTAAAAATGTGAATACTCAAAATTTAACTTTTACTAAACTTACAGTACATATAATAGGCCACAGTATAAATTCAGGTAAGCGTTGAATGCATGAACTATTGGTACTCCTAATTATCTATATTTTAAGAAGTATGCTTGAGGGGCTTTGGGATATTATGAAGAAGAACATCTTGAAAAGAGCACTGAGCAGGAATCTAGAGAACTGGGGCAATGCCATCACCACAGTAACAGGGGCCAACGGTGTCTCTGCATAATCTCCTCTGGACCTCCCCAGTGCACAGCAATATCCAACTACGTCAAATGAACCTTGAGGCCTGCCCAACCTTAGGTCTTCTAGTTTTCCTTCATTGCTTAGACCATTTGGCTATATCTTCTTTCCTTGGAATAAAAAAGTCTTAATTGATATACCAAATGGGTCGTCACCTACACTTGTGTGAAGGACTCAGATAAATATTTTAGGAGTACAAAGGTTCTATGATAAAAATGATAGGAAAAGGTTAGTTATTCCTTCACTATATCTCACAAGATAAAATAAAAAAAAGATTTCCTTTTCACCATTCTATTAACTTATCAGAACTTAAAGATGGATTTAAAGATCAGGAAAACACACAAGGTTAACGAACATAGCATACTTAGTCCCTCAGATGCCATTCTTTACACATTTGCCAACAAGATCTGATAAAAAGGTAAATCAGATCACATTACTTCCCATTCCGGCTCTGCTTAAAATCCTACAGTTAGGTTGCTTACCATGACCTAAAAACCCTGGTTTCTGCCTACCTCCTCAACTATTTTCTACTACCTTCCCCTCTGACTTACTCTGCTGAAACCACACTTGCCTTCTTCCCATTCCTTGGACATGCCAATGCTGCTTTCTGCTGTAGGACTTTTGTCCTAGCTGTTCCCTCTGCCTAGAGGGCTCTGATCCCAGATCTTCCCATGACTGGCTTCTTTCAGTTATTCACATCTCCGCCGTTCAAATACCTCCTCTTCTGACTCTCCCTGATGACTCCACAGAAAGAAATCCTACCTCCACTCCACTCTCCCTCTATCCCATTTCCTATTTCATCACCCTCATATTACTTGTCACTATCTAAAATTGTTCACCACGCTATTAAGTGCATCTAGAGCAGTGCTTGGCATATTATGGGTCCTAAACAAATATATGCTGAACAATTAGGTGAAAAGCACAGAAAAATAATAAACTACTTTGACTATAGCAAAGACAGGGTACTAAATATTAGAAAGTCAGAAAGAAAACAGAATAAGATAACTATTCTGGTCCTACTTAGTTTGGTTGGTGATATGAATACAAGGAATATAAGGTAATTGGAAGTTTAAATGTATGGAAATGGATAAATCAGTAAGTGCAGCCCTAATGGCTGGATTAAATTAATGCATTTTGTTAAAAACCATTCTCTGGAGGACATTTAACTTATGGTCAGCAAATCTTTCTCTATTCAACTTTCTTTTTAGTTATTCATAACAAAATATAATTACGAAAGGAAAGATAACTCATAAATCTACTAACTAAAGTTTTAAATTTAAATTTCAAAGTAATTTCATTCTAGGTTAAACCAAAAAATTCTCATCATCTGCTTCACTTAGCAGAAAACTGGCCACAGGAAAATGTTCATAGCATCCTTTTTCAGGAGACAGATTTCTCTCATTCAGAAATTTTAAAATGCATCCTCAATCTTTAAATTCTTAGGCCTTTGACAGTCTCTTTAACAAATAAAATTATTTGATAGCATCAAATGCTTCAAACACTAAAAAATTAAAACTGAATAGTTCACACATGTAATTAACCAAGTATACCTCTTATTACTGCTTCCCTGTCTCACCTCTGTGATATCAGGCATGTAACTGACTTTGTTATTAAATGTACTTATCTTTTAATAAAGTTCCCTATTTAAGTTGAGGCTTAAATTGGGATAGGTAAATGGGATAGGAACCTCAGGCAATCCAGTTCATTTCTGCAAGGAAACGGAACTTTTCTTGCTAACTCTTCCAAAGTGTGGTAAATGAAGAACATCACTTGATAGCCATCTTATATTTGGTTAATTATATTTTCAGTAATCAACAATATCTTAAACTTCAAGAAAAAGGGGAGATTTCTAAGCAGAGAAATTTTATTCAAGTCCAACCACATAAAATTTATCCTATTTTTAGATATCAGAGGGAATAAATATTTCAGTAAAATGTTACTAAGCTATTTTACTGATTTTTATTTAATGACCCAAGAATCAAAGTAGCCTTTGACTCAGTTATCTGAAGAAGCCTAAAAACAATAAATATAAAAATGCCTTATGCCTTGTGGAACTAAAGAATAAAGAAATATTATTGTTTTCATGAAAATTATAAACACTGTAAAAATTTTCATTCAAAATAGATGGAAGAGTCCAAAAATTCCATTTTCCTTTCTCTCCTTCTGTTTTCTTTTGAATTGTCAAATGATAATCAAACCTCCCCACTGTCTAGCTCAGTGCCAGACATATAGTAAGCAGTTAATGTATCCTTTTGGAATGACTTAATTTCTTGCCCCTAATCACTCATAACCCACCATTACCAGTCAACTTAATGATACCAGCTATATATTGATAATGTTAAAAGAAACCTAAGAAAGTGACCCAGGCTTACATATTTTCACATGTAAGTATCATTCAACATATTAAAATTTCTTCTCTGAAAAAGCTTAAAAGGACAAAAGTTCATTCAATAATTAAGACACAGTTTCACACCTAATCACTTGATCTGAATGGGTTATACATACTGTGAGATCATATTAAAGTCAGTGCAATCCACAACTTATGAATTATAGTTAATATCCCAAGAAGTTGGAGGAATGTACAATGGGAGAGGAAAATACCTCAATCAGCTTTTAGAAATAGATGTGAAATACACAGATTAGGATTAAAAACAGAAAATATGACTGATGTACCTTTGCTGAACTATGAAGCTCTATTATCCTAAAATTACAATATCTCCATCTGTTAATCTGACATGAACAAGCTGATAAATGAAATCAGAACAACAGTGTATTCTGGCAAAACTAGAAGTTTCCCGAAAGCCTAGAAAAATATGTCCACAACAGATGGATCACTTAGAAAATAAATACATCAATCTGTCAAACGGAGTACTATTCTAATTCCCTAAATTAAAATCAGTAGGAGTTCCACCTTCCAAGAGTCTGTGACATTAGGAAGGCCAAAAAGGAAAAACCTAAAGATGCACATAAACATATCTGATATGACCTAAAGTGTCATACTGTTAGGTTTCCTGTTAAACATACTAAATTTAGGTAAAGTCCTTACCAGTTAACTTCTTCACAGGTTGGAGCCGAACACTGATAGACTGATGTGTGAGTAAGGGGGAGGATGGAAGAGAGCGAGACATGCCCTCCATAATCCGAATGTGCTGCATACCTTCACTCACTGGAAGTGGTGGAACGGCGTAGTCGGGCTCAAAAACACAGTCGCTTTCTGTGGAGATGCCACCTGTTAGGACAGAACAAAAGAGCTGATAAGAAAAGATTCCTTTTTTTTTTTTAAAGATTTTATTTATTTATTTGAGACAGAATGAGAGAGAGAGAGAGCACATGAGAGGGGGGAGGGTCAGAGGGAGAAGCAGACTCCCTGCCGAGCAGGGAGCCCGATGCGGGACTCGATCCAGGGACTCCAGGATCATGACCTGAGCCGAAGGCAGTCGCTTAACCAACTGAGCCACCCAGGCGCCCAGAAAAGATTCCTTTTAAGATAATTCAGAACATCATATACCCATGTTGATTTTCACGGTGAAAAGCCAAATAAGATATTTTCAACACCTACATTCATGTCTATACTTACTGGATGGACACTTAACAGCAGGTTTAGCACTAGGAAATTAAACATGGATAAAACGAGGTTCCTCCTTATAAGGGGCTCACTGCCTCATGAATGATTCAGTCCCATAAAGAAATAATAATGGTACAATGCAGTAAGTGTTAAAATTGGAGCACTGGTCTTCAGTTTTTTTCCCTGATAAGAAACATAAAAGAAGATATTCACCTGCTTGATAATCCAATATGTGCAATTGCTAGTAGGATCACTCTAACTCTCTCTTACCCCCTTCTCTAAGAAAGTGTGTGAAAATACAAGTAGGTAAGACTGACATTATTATATGGTAATTTTGGGGGGGTTAAGATTTTATTTATTTATTTGTCAGAGAGAGAGAGAGCACAAGCAGGGGGAGTGGCAGGCGGAAGGAGAAGCAGGCTCCCTGCTGAGCAAGGAGCCTGATGTGAGACTTGATCCCCAGGACCCCGGGATCATGACCCCAGCCGAAGGCAGACGCCCAACCGACTGAGTCACCCAGGCGCCCTATATGGTGATCTTTTAATCTGCTTTGATATTTAAAAAGATTAAGTTATATGTTATGTATTTCCACCTCTATACTGTTGACTTCTATTTCCAATAATGGCAGATTATCTACTTCAGACCAACTTTTCCCTAAGAAAAACTAGAACTGTACGTATGTTTTGTTTTTGTTTTTTTTTTAAAGATTTTATTTATTTACTTGAGAGAGAGAATGAGAGAGAGCAGGGTCAGAGGGAGAAGCAGACTCCCCACCGAGCAGGGAGCCCGATGCGGAACTCGATCCTGGGACCCCAAGATCATGACCTGAGCTGAAGGCAGTCGCTTAACCAACTGAGCCACCCAGGCGCCCTGTACGTATGTTTTAAAATCTTCCTGAAGGCATGGAAGAGTTAATAGCATGAGGAAGGATTACATAAAGAAAAAAGAAAAAAAAAAAAAGACTGAAGCCTGGCATTTGGGGCTACTTTTTACTCAGTGGCATCTGAGAGGCTAAGAAGCTACTGACAGTTTTAAAGAGCTGGGAGGACAAACATTGAAATGCAGAGAAAAATCAAGATCCAGAGGGGAAGCTGGTAAAACTCCAACACTTTTGTTTGGAAGCCCAAAGGGCTACACTCTAGGAGTTAAGTATGAACCAAAGCTAGTCTGGCCTTTTACAGGAATAAAGCTCGGCTCCAAACGTCTACCACAAAATTAAATTAAGGCGATCTTGGATGGCCAACGCCTGCCAAAAACTAACGCAAATCTTCTTGTAGAAAACACTGGCACAGGCCTCAAATTACTTCCACAATATTTCATACACAGTATCTGGCCCTTAACTGACAAAAACAAAGAGGTAAAACAGTATGCAAAAAGTAGATCGGAAAGACCGTTCAAAAGAGACAGTCTCACAAGGGATACAGACTATGGAGTAATGAGGCACAGAATTTAAAAGTGGTATACTTAATTAACATCAGAAAGATTAATAATTTGAAATAAATTTAACCAAGGAGGTGAAAGACCCATACATTGAAAACTATAAGACACTGATGAGAGAAACTGAAGAGTAAGTGGAAAGATACCCCAAGTTCAAGGACTAGAAGAATAAGTATTGTTAAAATGTCCATACAACCCAGTCATCTATAGGTTCAATGGAACCCCTATCAAGATTCTGATAGCATTTTTTACAGAGGTAGAAAAAAGCAATTCTGAAATTTATATGACATCACAAAAGACCCTAAGTAACCACAGAAGTTCTGAGGGAGAGAAAAACAAAGTGGGAGGCATCACACTTCCTAATTTCAAAGTATATTACAAAGCTATAATAATTAAAAGAATTTGGTGGTAGCATAAAAAATTAAAAAAAACCACAGACGAACAGAACAGAACAGAGAGTCTAGAAATAAACCCATGCATATATGGTCAACTAATCTTTGACACACGCACCAAGGATACACAATGGGGGAAAAGAGACTTTCTTGAATAAACAGTGCTGGGAAAACTGAAAAGACACATGCAAAAGAATGAAATTGGATCCCTATCTTACACTATATACAAAAATCAACTGAAAAATGGGTTAAAGACTTAAACGTAAGACCTGATACCATAAAACTCCTAGACAAAAAGGAGAAAAACTCCTTGAAATTGGTCTTGGCAATGATTTTTTGGATTTGATACCAAAAGCACAGGCAACAAAACCAAGTTAGTAGGAGAGACTACATCAAACGAAAAGGTTCTGCCAGCAAAGGAAACTACTGACAAAATGAAAAAGCAACCTATGGAATTGGAGAAAATATTGCAAACCATACATCCTTAGGGGTTAATATCCAAAATACATAAGAAACTCATACTCAGTAGCAAAAAACAACCTAAGTATAAAATGGGCAAAAGATGTGAATGAACATTTTTCCAAAGTAGACACACAAACAGCCAACAGGTACACAAAAAGACGTCCAACATCACTAACCTTCAGGGAAATGCAAATCAAAACCACTATGAGGTATCACCTCACACCTGTTAGGACAGCTATTCTCAAAAAGTCAAAAGATAACAAGTGTTGGCAATGATGTGGAGAAAAGGGATCCCTTCTGTTGGTGGCAATGTAAACTGGTACAACCATTATGTAAAACAGCATGGAGGATCCTCAAAAAATTAAAAATAGAACTACCACATGATGGAACAATCCTACTTCTGAGTATATACCAAAAGGAAATAAAACTATCATCTCAAAGAGATATATGCACTCCTATGCTCACTGCAGCATTACTCACAGTAGCCATGATTTGGAAACAACCTCAGTGTCTGTCAAAAGATGAAGAAAATGTGATTTTACACACACACACACACACACACACACACATGTTATTTGTCCATAAGAGAGAAAGAAATTCTGCCGCTTATAACAACATGGATGAATCTGGAAAACATTATACTAAGTCAACTAAGCCAGACACAGAAAGACAAATACTGCATAATCTCACTTATATGTGGAATCTAAAAAATAAAGTCAAACTCACAGTAAAGAGAGGTGAATGGTGGTTACCTGGGCTAAGAGGATGGGGGAAAAAGAGAGATGTTCAATAATTAAGTTCTGGAGACCTAATGTACAGCATGATGACTATAGCTAATAATAATAATACACTGTACACTTGAAATTTCCTGAGTAGCACTCAAGTGTTCTCATACACGCACAAAAAGGGTAATTGTGTGAAGTGATAGATATTAATTAGTGTTATGTGGTAATCATTTCACAATGTATACATTTATCAAAATAACACGTTATATACCTTAAATATATACAATCTGTATTTCTCAATCATACCTCAATAAACCTGGGGGAAAAGAGTGGAAAATTTAAAAAAACAAGCACATGGTCTTACATGAAATGATGGTAATATGATCTACACTGAGAAGTAAAATTAAAGCAAGTGTCTCACTTAAGGTTCCCAATTGTGTTATAGTTGTAATTTCATCATATGTAATTCTAACTCATTTAAAAAAACTACTGCAGTATATCATACATTATAACATAACCAGTCTCTTATTAATGGCCACTTATGCAGCTCTTTCTATAGTATTTCTATAGATGATAAATATAGAATTAATGGGTCAAAGTGCTGAGAGTTTCCCCTGAGAAATACTGACTAAATGCTGTATTAAGTCTGTGTAGGGGAGCGTGGATGTCTCAGTCAGTTGAACGTCCTACTCTTGTTTTGGCTCAGATCATGATCTCATGGGTCATGAGAGATCAAGCCCCATGTGGGGCTCCATGCTCAGTGGGGAGTCTGCTTGAAGATTCTCTCCCTCTGCCCCTCCTCCCACTTGCTTTATATCTCTTGTGCTCTCTCAAATAAATAAATATATCTTTCAAAAAAAAAAAGTCTGTGTCATGTTGCCTCTAAAAAAAGGGGGGGGGAGTAGTATGCTTAATATTTGGAGAAAATAAAAATTTAGAATTCCAGCTAAGAATTAAAATTATGAAAATAAAAACTCAACAGGTGAATTGAAAAACAGATTAGACAGAGATGAAGAGATAATTAGTAAACTGGAAGGTAAAATGTTTGTGCATCAAAAGACACCATATCAAGAGTGTGGATGGGGGTGCCTGGGTGGCTCAGACGGTTAAGCGTCTGCCTTCGCCTCAGGTCATGATCTCAGGGTTCTGGAATCAAGCCCCACATCCTTGGGCTCCCTGCTTAGTGGGGAGTCAGCTTCCTCTGTCCCTCCTCCACCCCGACTTGTACACATGCACTCTCTCTTTCAAAAAAAAAAGTGTGAAAAGACAACACCTAGAATGGCAGCACATATGTGCAAATCATTTATCTGAAGAGAGTCTAGAATCCAGACTATATAAAGAACTCCTACAACTCAAGAACAAAATAACAATGCAATTTAAAAATAAGCAAAAGACTTGAAGAGACATTTCTCCAAAAAAGATATACAAATGGACAAAAAGCACATGAAAAGGTACTCAGCATCATTAATCATTATGGAACTATAAATTAGAGTCACAGGGAGATATCACTTTATACCCGGTAGGATAGCAATTTAAAAAAAAAAAAAAAAAAGACAAAAAAGTGTTACTGAGAATGTAGAGAAGTTAGAATCCTAATACATTGCTGGTGGGAATATAAGATGGTATAGCTGCTGTGTAAAACAGTTGC